CCCCAAAACCCCAAAACCCCATAATGACATAATATACCTTGAAATAAGAAGTAATTAGAAGGAATCAAAATTTATACAAATATCTTCAACTGAAGTGAAGTATGATGAAATATTTAATCATAATTGTAACTTTCAGCATTGATAGTTTAAAATATCTCATTATTGGATCTATACTTCAGTATTAGTAGGTTTAGGTTGATATGTACCCCAATTAACAGCTTCTGAATTTACTTTTCTGACAGTCTTTGATGCTCTATTATTTAGCACTACTTTTTATTATTATTAATATGGATTAGCGAACATCTTTAGCATCTAGAAGCTTTTATCAAACTCTCTAGCTCTCTGAGTTACATTAATCTATTCTTATTATATGTTACCACTAATGTTATTATTCTAATCCTCCTGATGACTCTTGGTCAACTACTTTTTTATTAGATTATTACCGTTGTTATTCAAAGAGTTAGATTTTTTGTGATAACCCTTATTCTGAGAGGAATAGATATCCTGCTACCTCTAAAGCATTTACTAATAAAAAGAGTTATCATGCAATTAAGACTGATTTAACAATGATTTTCTTTTGTCTTTGCTATTACTATAGAAATTATTCTAAGTGGTGTTAGTGCTTGCAGATCCTGTCAGATCTCCCACTGTGTGATGAGAATGCTTCTTAAGACTCGATTGATTAGTAATATAATCGTTCTATCTATTATTCGAGGTATTCTAGCCGCTAATCATAAGTATAGATGGAGGTAATGCTTGGCTGTTATATTATTAATTATCAACTAGAGTCCTTATCATTCGAGACTTCTCCTGTTGATGCTCATTAGCAGAATTGTCAGTCAATTCAAGTTAATTATTATTATTGTTATTAAGACTGTTTTCATTCTAGTTAATGATCTACAGAATCTCCTTTTTTTTCTTTTTGAGGACATCTGGTGAGTATGATTCATTTTAGCCATCATTAATAAGTATATTGCTTCTATTTGAGTTTTGCTTACCTAGAGCTTTTCTTTCCTACAACTATGTCGAAGGTCTTCTAATCTTGGAAAATTTATTATTCGATCTGCTCGAGTCGAGAGTCAATTTTTTCTAGGATTCGTTCACTAGACTGCTCTTGGATAAGCTTTTCGTGAAACCTCTGGAATCAGGCGTGTTCTTGATGCTGTGAGTGCGCTTTTTGAAGGACATTTCAGTACTTGGGCGGTCTTTGGAATTTTTATTCATGAATCTAGAGGTGTTTAGTCTACTATCGTTCATCTGGGACAACTTTTAATTTTACAAGTCTACCAGCTTCTAAACTATGAAATCCTTTTGGTAAACTGTGTAACTCTCCTTCATAGATTTTTACCTAAAGTACTTCTTAGTTTTTTGGTCGTAAAAAGTTGGATCAATCATTATAGAGTTGCCTACTTGCACATAGTAGGGTTAACCAGCTTCCTTACCATAGGAGAGCATAGCTATTTTAGTCTTGCAACTTTTTTACCTTATCTTGTTAAAAGACTCCTGGTCATTGTACTAACCTGGACCAACCACTGATCTTTAAGCAGTTACTTGATAGTCTCTAAATCGATCAGAAGTTGAGTTAAAGGCGTTTGGACCAGCACTAAACTAGGAAGTGTAGCTCTAGTTATGTAAGACTTTAGATGATGAATTATTCAGTTCCATATTATTGATCTTTCCACGCTTTTTGTCATAAAACTGTAACCCGTAATCTAGAAGGGTTCTCCCATTATTGGTGACCTAGAGTATATTGTCAAATTTAAGTAATAACTACCCTGGATTAGTAGAAGTCAGGAGTGTGCTCCTTGGGAGAGCGGAACATTAACAAGGTTGGTCTCATATTTGTTTTATTAGTTGCTGTTGATTTTATATAAAGAAATTAAAATTAATATTTACTCAAATATAGTTATAATTATCAATCACTTATTTTGTTCAGCTATACCTCCATGTTTAGACTCAATTCTAATTGTTATTCAAAGTATTCTCGAGAGTTGGTCTATCAGCGTTTTTCATAGACTTGAGTTTCGTGAAAATCTTTTTGAAAAATTTGGCTTCATAGCTTACTGTGCTCTTCTACTTCTCATTCTTTTCAACGAATATCAACTATAATAATTCAATTTATAAGCAAATTTATTTACAGTTGTTATGTTCTTTCCAACAGTATAGGCTTCATCTAAAAAGCTAATTATCTGATTGAAAAACTAATCACTTAGTTCAATCGACTTCTTGATGATCTTTTCAATTAGGGCAAGCAGACACCTTTTTGTGTAGTACCATGTATCAGTGCCTAGTTTGTCCTTAGCTGGCTCTAGCGATCTGAAAATTAATGAAAACCCGAACTCAAAGTGACCTCTTGAGCAATAAAGAGTGCCTATTACTAGATTAACAATACATGAGTGAAATAATTAAGCACTTGGATCGTTTGCCAACACATTTTACTCATGCAACTAGATTTTTTAAATAAGATTTTCAGCCTTGCTGTTTTACTTGGTTAAAATGTAGCACACACATAGATTGGCTAAAACGATTGTCTCACACTTAAGGAGATTATCCTAGCTTTCCTCTACAATCTTCTCATAGTACAAAATAGCCTCTGACTGCTTACCCTCCTGCATGTAGATCGAATGAGCCAGATTTACGTTGAATATCTAAAACCCATCGCAAATGTCCTATGAATCTGTGAATACCTGCTGCACACTCTTATAATCTTTCATGTCCCAGAATATTTTAGCCTGTGATGTCAATACTGCTGCATACTTCTCCTTCATAATTCTCAGTCGCTAGTCCAAATATCTAACTTGCTATTCTATTTCAGAAGAATTTTCAATCCTACCCTCCATATATTCTTCTTATAGCTTCTCAATTTCCTGATTGCTCTATTATATCTAGCCCTTGTAATAATCCAAGATAGTTTAGAAATGCTTGATTGCCCCATTCGGATCCTACTATTATAGAATCATAGTTTAAATGTAATCGAAGTCATCCTTTTCTAGTAAGGATTCACAAAACTTAGGGTTTTCTTAAATAAGCTCATTAGCTAGATCAAAGAAGAAGTATTTGCAATAGAGAAATAGTAGGTTTTAAAAAGTCTCAGGAGGAAACAAAGAGTTATTTAGGAGATAGTTCAGTTTCTTAATGGATTCAGCTGAGTTTTGATTCACAAATAAAACTGCTTAATTGTGGAAAGTTACTGGATCGGTACCACCCTCTTAAATGACTGGCACTTTTTTGATTACTTATTTAGCTCCTTCGTAATCTTCTTAGAAATAAAGAATAGCAGCTTTTAAGTTCAAGGCTTCAACTATTGCTGATTCCCTCAATATTTATGTAGATATAGTTTTATCCTTTTCAAATACCGGGTTTTCCTCAGTTACATTCTTCAACTATGGGAATTTTTCATAAGCTTTTTACAGTATTACATCTAGAAAAGTCACTGACTCCTTGTACTCATGAAGCTCGTAGTATGAAAGAGCCACATTGTAAAACAGCTCAGCATTGAAGCCACAAATCTTAATAGCATCATTAAACTTTCCTAGAGCTTTTTCAATTTGATCTTGCTTGAAATAGATGCATCCTTCATTGACTAGGGAAGCAAAGTCAGAAGTATTCAAGGATTTTAGATGCTTTTTAGCCATATCAAACTCGTTTTTCTCATAGTATATGGCAGCCTTAAGTTATTTACCCTTTTATTAGAGATGAGTATTGTCCAGTTATTTCTCACAAACTTCAAGTGCTTCTTCATACATACCACTTTTTAAAAGACACTAAGCAAGATAGTAGGAGTATTCAGTGATTTCAGGACAGATTTTGATTAATTCCGAGTAACATAACGAAGCATTTTGAAAGTCGCCAGTTTGGAAGTAGCAAAAGGCCAGCACTGAGTACACTGATCTCTCTTTTCTGCCATTTCTTAGCAATTGAGTTAAGATTTATATTGCCTATGACTAATAAGACAAGAAAATTTACTTAAGGGAAGTTGCCAGCTCTAACGTTACCATAGATCTGTTCAGTTATGTTGCCATCAGCCATGTTTTGGTGATGGTGATCTTGCATGTCTAAAATTTAATTCATTTTGTGTTTAAATTTAAATTTCTAGTTAATTTTTGTGATTAATCTTCTAAGTTAATTAGACTATGGGGTTTTGGGGTTTTGGGG